TCAAAAAAATCCAGGTGTTTCTGAAAAAGAGCATTTCATGACACAATCAACAACACTAATCAATTTAAAGACAATTACCATGTGATCTAAATCTAAAAATACTTACACAATTAGTGCTGAAAAAGTTTGGGTTTTATTAATTTTTACATATTTTTTCTGATCTCTTGGAGATGAAAACACATATACAAATAAGGATTGCGATAAGGATCCAGATCATGTAGAGTACACAATGTAGCCGAGTCATGTGGTTTGACCATCTGACTTCGTCTGATTGCCACATGACAACCCAAAAGGTAGTTTGGAACAAAACAGAACTTAACCAGGCAGATATTAACACAGATGCAATTATCATTTTACAGAGTTTCACACATATTTCAATTAACGCTGGGACTAGAAGTGCAAATCTAATTCACTTTGTCTAATTGGCACCGTTAAAAATCTTTCAAAAAGTTACAAATTAAAATAATACATAGAATCTTTGGTAACTGCAGAAAACACTTAAGTAGGTGTACATGTCTTGATGTAGAAAGATACACAATAACTCACAACCAAATCTATTTCTCAGTCACAAAGAAACCTGGAGTAAACAAAGCGAACAGACTAGACAAACCATTGTGGGAAAAAAAAATTCATCCATGTAATTAACACCTGAAAAGGACCATGGATATTCTGGGGGATATTTTCAGTCTTCAAGATAAAACATCAAACATCTCTTAAAATATACTCTTTCAAAAAAGTAGGGTACATTATGACCTCCTATGTTTGGGTATAGAAGTATAAAGCGTTAACCAGGCTCATAAAGCTTTTCAAAGACAGACATCTTAAGAATACTCCTCCATTCTTCTTCATCACCACCCTTAAACACAACACATGGGATGTACATGCACAGTACAGTAGCCCCATACACATGCATGGGGTGTCAGTCTGGACTTTGGCGGTTTTCATGAAGGTCGATAAATCACTGTAGACCATTAATTTTGACAATCATCTTGCATCACACAGTTGTTAGTGTTTGTTTCTAGCCAGGGTTTTTTGGTTGATAATGAAAATCGTACACAAGCAAATATCACCAATCATCTTGCAAGAATATTACTGTACAAACAACTATGGTCATAAGGAAGTGCAAGTGGTGATGCACTCTCAAAAGTCAAAACATTCATTGTTCTCACATCAACGTTGACTTGACTCAATTTATCTCCCAATTTTTCAATCGTAAAATTAAGAATGAAGTTCCCCTACTTTTTTTAAAGAGTATATATTCCTGATACATAATTTTTGTTCAGTATATTGACATAAAAAAATAATCCCGTCCTTTACTCTAATTCTTCAGACTGAAAATGATCCCATATCCAAATACCAACAGTTCCAAACAATTTTTCACTTGCTTAAATTATTTAAAAATTCATTCCATTTTGAACATGTTGGCACCAAAACTAGTGGGTATCAGACTATCATTGTATCTACCTTTCACCACAGGTGTCACTTCAATATAAAAGATTATGGTAATTATGATAAATATTCAAACCAGTTCGAGACTGGGAGTCAAAATTCAAAACTGTAATCACACCCAGTGCATCTACACAATACAGATACATAACTGGAACAAAATTCAACACAATGTACATTCATGTACAACACAATGTCAGCTTCTTATGAATAATTAAATGTTTTCATTGTAGGTATGGCATTGTAAAGCTATAAATGCAAGCCTATGGGAAGGGTACTACCACTGTATAAAATATAGCCCGTCCCACCGTCCTTGACATGCCATTATGAGAAGGGCGGTCTATTAAATAAGTAAGGCCGTCCTTTGGTCTGGAGAAGTATTTCAAAATTAATTTAACTTGGTTTGAACTTAGTGTTGAACATCATTTTATTTCTGGTTTTCGTTTCAACATTTGTTGATCTTCTTATTGTTTGAGTTTTTGGAACTGGCTGTTTGTTCAGGACTGGTCACTTATTGGACACCCAGTCCTTGGACAGGCCATGTTTCAAAACTATTTTATACACTGGTATTACAGACTGGAAGCCCTATGAATAATCAGCAACTTTGGTCTCTGTCCTCTCTGGAGGTAATACAAGCTATGGCAGATTGAACATACACATGGCCTCTATACTGTGTACAAAGTGCAATAAGCTACAATAAATTAATGAAACAAACTTGTTCTTGAGACAGAAGAACAATTGGAAAAAAAGCAGAACTATTTAAAGGAAAACAGTACACGGAAGTTTTAAAACCAGGCATTCAATGATCACATAGTTGGTAAAGTTGACTAGATATTATGGTACATGATTGTGTATGCATTTAAGAGTCACTGCAAGATTTAACACAAGATCAAATTTACATTTAAAGGGTGATTCCACTCTAGATATTAGCCTGGCATGTCATATAACGACTACCATCCCTACTGTACGCAATGACATGACCATTTCCATGTAGATTTTAAATCAAGCTGCAATTCCAGCTTCATAACGGTGTAAGACTGACTGAGTTTGGTTTTACGCTTTTTTATTCCAGCAACATCAATGCATGGGGACACCAGAAATGGGCTTCACACATTAGCGTAAGAATCTTCACAATAATATCACTAATACAACTAAATCAGAAGTTGGTATCCATCAATTTGCATGTTTTCGTTTTAACTTCCCAACTTCAAGAGTGCCAGTCAAAAGAGAATAGAGTTTAAGCACCTTGACTCATACAACAGATTGTTTTGAGAACCAGGAAGTGTTTCTGAGTGAGTTTAGTTCTACGCCGCTTTTAGCAATATTCAAGCAATATCACAGCAAGGGACACCAGAAATGGGCTTCACATATTTTACGCATGTGGGGAATCAAACCCGGGTCTTCAGCATGATGACTGAATGCATTACCCACAAGGCTACTCAACATGTGAATTGTTCAGCTATTATGACGTGTACAATTTCTTCCAGACCAAATCTTGCAGTGTCTCTTAAACAGTGACAGGTCATAGTAGTGACAAAATCACTTTTGCCTGTGGTGAACACGTATTTCTTGTTGACTATTGATCACATCCATTGATGTAGAAAATATATGAAAGCTATGCAGCATAGATGATTATAAATATGGGACTGAATGTATATGTTTGCAAAAGACAGGCATAAACATGACTAGCTATAATGCACAAATTTTGATTCAACTGGATTTCCTGAAGAAAGAGATCAGAACATATATAAACAGCCAGGAGACAGAGCGCTACATGTTACAACATACTGGTCAATATATACAATAATGTCTTCCTCCAACATGTCATGTGACCATGTTACCATGGCAACAACGCAGATACAGCAGATAAAACACATACATCTAACTGGCAGTTTCAGAGGGTGCATAGAGCATTCATCTTGCAGGGCTCGATTTAAGCATTTAGAACTTGCACTTGTGCATCCTGAAACTGCTAAATGCAACCTCTTATGTACATCAACTTGCACACAGAGCAGGTTAATATTTAGTGTTCAAAGAACACAGACTTCAGCTGGAAAACAAAATGATGAGGAACTGACTAGGAACAGTGAAAGTTTAGGAAGTAAGATAACTACAGAATTATTTTGTTATAATACTGTTCTAAACCGTCTTTACCAAAACTCAAGCATTATATGAGATTGTATATTGCAGGTGCAGGTGAAACCTGTTTTCATTTGGTGCAACAAGGTTATTGCCTTAGGTTGCACTGGGTGCAAGTAGGTTTCATTTCCTTAAATCGACCCCTGTCTTGACTGCCATGGGGGCCCTAGATACAGAATCACTATGAATTCTAATGACAAATTCTATTCTAATCCATACGAAAGATATATGTATATAAAGATTACATAATTTGCTCTGAAAAGGACATTTCCTATCCATTTGTCAAGCCAGTTTATGACATGCATTGTATCCACCCACTGCACTGTATATGACTAACGGTTGCCATGGACACAAGACATGATGAACATAGTATTTACAATGTGGACAACTTGACTGGAAGATGAAGATTTCTACACACTACATGCTACTGGACTTTTGAGTGTATCGTTGCACCCAAAACTGAACTCCATAGACACAGATTCCTCCTGTAAGAAATTATTTATACCAACATTGATCTCTGAATCAATCATAACACATTTAACATTCAATGTAATCAACTTGTTCCTCCACATAAGATTTTATACTTATATCTGAATGTCTTTCCCACACTTCAAAATGTCTGACTCTCTTAATATGTTGTCCAACCTGATATTAAAGGGTCCCAGCTTATCAGATAGTCCTACCCTGATATCAAACTGTCTTACCCTGATATCAAATGGTTTTACTCTGATATCAAACAGTCCTACCTTGATATCAAATAGTCCTACCCCTGATATCGAATGGTCCCACCATGATAGCAAAGGGTCCTACCCTGATATCAAACAGCCCTACCCTGATTTCAAACAGTCCTACCTGATTTCAAATGGTCCCACCCTGGTATCAAACAGTCCTACACTGATTTCAAATGGTCCTACCCTGATATCAAAGTGTCCTACCCTGATTTCAGAGTTCCCACCCTTCATTCTCTACATTCTTCCCTGATGTATACGCAAATCTGCCGCTGTATCTACCCATATCTACCGCGATCTATGAAGTCCAGTTTTGTGTGGAGTAATTTAATCATCATCTCCCTAAAGGCACTCATTATATAACTCTATATCCATGACAACGGATGGAATAAAGGCTGTCATGGCAACAAAACAATAAATTAACATTTTTTTAAAGTTTCACCAGTAACATACATATGTTTTGTGACTAATATTTTGTCGAAGTTTCCTTCCATCAATAAATGAATTTTTTTTCCAAGGTAATAGTTGACCATTGGTTACCATAAAATATATTTCTTTTTATGAACATTTCTCAAATAAAAAATGCCTAAACTGGTATCTTCTGGTATCGGTTAGTACAACCAGAAAGCACATAAAATTTTGTCTGATTGACGCCTCGATGGAAAACTAAGATGGCAATCACTACCATCACGAAGATTTGGGAGTAAGAAACATCTCTGCAGTGATCATTGCCGTCCATACATACATTGGGTTCTTGAAAGTCGATGTCGCTTGTTTGTAGATGGGATTCTGCAAGCCCTGAAACACGCAAAATAGGGGATAAAAGCATCGTCTGCTTCAGGTGATTTTGGCTTCATTTGAAATGAGTAAGGAATGAGCAATATTTTTTTAGGTTTTTTAATTCCTTGGTTTACCGACCCTGTAAAATCAAGAAATGAAAAAAAAGACTTTCCAAAGTTCATTATTACCCATAGGTTAGCGCCTCCCAGCTACGATTAAACGTTTTTTCACTACCGAAACCAGGGGCAACCAAGTGAATTAATCAGGTCACCATCAAAATACTGACTGCACTATGTTGCCAAAAATCCCATTGCTGTCACTGACTGTAGACAATTCTTTATCAGCAGTGCGAGGGGGATATTCAGGCGACTTCATTATCTCCGTAAAAGCTCACATTACACGATGTTTGAAAGGATTCTTTAGTAGAAGCAAGCACTAAGGTTAAGCGGGATAACACTACATAACAGCACCTGCAGTGATAAACGAAAATGCTATCAGACACTATAGCACTGCTGGTATGTAAAGTTATCTCCCCTTAACCTAAGTGCTTGTTTCTTTGACAAAGGAATCCTTTGTAAGTTATGGTAGGTGACAGAATGTTTGGTACAAGTTGATAGGAGATCTGGTTAGGTTGTGAAGAGGTAGCAAGGCTGGGAATGTGGATCTCAAAAGTGTTTTATGATCTTACTTTACACAGATATTTCCTGAGTCTAATTTGATTGGTCAGCTATTCTTTGCATTGTAAATTGGACTCAGTAGGTCACAGCCCTTTAATGACAGGAAGGATAAGTGATGGTGAAACTGACGACAGAACTATGCTAAGTCAGTAGCACTTACCGTGTCCCACTTAGCATTCTGTCGTTCCTTCTCAAACTTGGCAAATTCTCTCCGATCGTGAATGATTGTCAACATTTTCCATATCAAGAGCAGAGCAAGACCCACAGCAACAATACCACCCACAACACCACCGACAATGGCTAAGACATTCACGGACTCGGGACACACTGAAACAGAGAGAGAGAGTGAGTGAGTGAGGATGGTCTTACGCCGCTTTTAGCAGCATTCCAGCAATATCACAGAAATAGGACACCAAAATGGGGTTCACACAATGTATCCATGTTGGGAATTCAACCCAGGTCTTCTGCATGACGAGTGAACGCTTTAACCACTCAGCTACCCCACTGCCCCGAAACAGAGAGAGTGCGTCTGTCAAGGGAGATAATCCATGTATCAGACATGATTGTCATGATTGTTTTTTACTTCAAGTGATATTCCTTGGTAACTTATATTCTCATTGTGATATAATGCTACACTCCGGCTATAACACATCGGTCTGTAAATAATCAAGTCCGGATCAGAAAATCAAGTGATTGACGTAATGAACAGCAATTCAAAATACAGGGTGGACATGGTTTCATTCACTTACAAGTTTTACGAATATCCCTCTTTTGTTGCTAAACCGAACTACCATGTTCGATGAATTTAGCACCGGCCAGCAGAAATAATGGCACGCAGAGCGCTCAACCCATCCCTTCCCCTAATTCAATCTTTCGAATTGCTATTCTAAATCATATAAGATTGAAGCAATCAATATTCATCATTGACGAGAGTGTAAGATGGTGTTTGCAACACATGGCAATACCTGTTCTGTTTTGGGTGATTTTAAACCTGTTTCTAATTAGCACACACCTTTCCAGGGGTATCCTAATAAGTGCTAATCTTGGCCCAAAAATGCAGTGGTCTATAAGTACAGATTTATAAAGTGATCCTGCTGGGCTACTGGTCTCAATATATTGTTTCGCAATTCATATCTCCAAAGTTGCTCAAATTTCTATGACATCTCATCTGCGACTGAGTCACACAAGTTTCATCATCTTAGGTCATTGATTTGATAATTGATAACAATTATCTCAGCAGTTACTCCACATTCATGATGGTAAATTCTGATTCAGTTGGCAAGGGTGACGCCATGTTTGTTTGTAAATACTGAAATTGGTACCTGCCTCACCCTTCATACTTGCATCTCTATCAATATGATCCCCAACGGATACTGTTGTCTGTTGGGTTTACCCTGCCAAGAAATCTGCCCATTACGTTATAAATGCATAATATTTAAACTGACCTTTAGTTCTCTGGACTGTGATGTGCAGCTCTCCGTCCGAGTCATACTCATACGTGAAGTAAAAGTGACATTCATCCTCGTCTCTGTACTGGCATTTCCGCACACCGTCTGATTCTGTAGCAACAGTCAACATCAGTAACATCATGGTCAGCCTCAACATCATCAATATATCTAAAAATAGTGCCACTGTACAGCAGTGCTCACCTGTACAGTAGTGCTTACCTGTAGTGAGTGAGTGAGTGAGTGAGTTTAGTTTTACGCCGCACTCAGCAATATTCCAGCTATATGGCGGCGGTCTGTAAATAATCGAGTCTGGACCAGACAATCCAGTGATCAACAGCATGAGCATCGATCTGCGCAATTGGGAACCGATGACATTTGTCAACCAAGTCAGCGAAACTGACCACCCGATCCCGTTAGTCGCCTCTTACGACAAGATAGTCGCCTTGTTATGGCAAGCACATGGGTTGCTGAAGACCTATTCTACCCCGGATCTTCACGGGTCAGTGCTCACCTGTACAGTAGTGCTTACCTGTACATGCAGTCAACAACTTGAATATAGATTAGTTTGTTTGTTTGCAGCAATATTCCAGCTATATGGTGGCGGTCTGTAAACAATCAAGTTTGGACCAGGCAATCCAGTGATCAACAGCATGCACACTGACATAAGCAATTTGGACACGAAGACATGTCAACCAAGTCAGCGAGCTCAATCAAGTTAGTTGCCTGTTACGATAAGTATGGATTGCTGAAGACCAGTTCTAACCCAGGTCTCGACGGGTAACTTAATATATAGACAACAAAAGCTGTTCAAATGTTTCTGCATAACCACTAAGTATGGTTTTATGCTTCTTTCAGATATTTCACGGCGGGGGACACCAGAAATGTACTTCACACACTGTACATATGTTGGGAATTGAACCCAGTCTTCAGCATGACAAGCAAACACTTTAACCACTTGGCTACCCCAGCAACCCCATAACCACCGAAGCCAAACACCCAAATCTAACCTGACAAGCCATGATTCAAGGAAACATACTTGCCAATGTCAAGCCCTATATCTCTGGCACTTTTTCAGGAAATTTTTTGAGTGAATTTAGCTTTGTTGATGTCTCAAAAAAGGCTAAGAAACACATATACAATCCACAAACTTGAAAAATGGCGGACATCTTAATCGTCTCTAACAACCTTATCACTCACCCCTTATTTCATCCTTAACGACAATGTTTTTACACTCTCTTCTGCACTGCTGCGAAGTCTTGGGTCCGGTTTTGAAGGCGTAGCACTGCACACACTCCTTCTGTTCAAGACACTTCCCGGGGCAGGTCTACAAACACACAACACATCGTAATGTACCGGGATACAGACCAGTGTCCAGCATCCTGATATTGTGATCCTTTGACCATTCATGCTTATATTTGTTCACTCTTGCTCTGGGCACTTTGAATACAGGTATATGGGCTCTGGACTAAAAGTAACTAGGGAATACATGGACTCACTGGGGTTGTTATGATTCATTCACATATTCGATGAATCAAACCGTATCCCTACACGAATTCAATTCATTATTTGCAAACACTACAATAAAATATTCATGATTGTTTAAAAATGGAATCCTTTAAAGTGAACTTGGCCGTTATTATCAAAATGATGTATGGAAAACAGAATATATCTAAGTCAGACAGAATATTAGTCAACACTTTGACAGTGACGTGGTCACTGGTCACTGTCGTGCTAAATTAACCATGTAAAAGAATTTAGTTTGTTACTGTTTCACCAAATCTCATCAATAATACATCAAGCTCTGACATGTTACTTTACCTTACCTCACACATAAATGTCGCTTTCTGATTGGCTGAGCGCTCTTCTATTATTTTCAATGTACCCTGCTTACAAGCGAGTAACATTTCAGTGTACCTCGCTTTCAATGGCAACTCAGTTGGTACTTTGTGGTAGTAATTCTTTATCTCAAATAACATTGAATCACGTATGATGTACGGAAGTTACCGATGTTTTACGAATGCAAATCGATGGAAGGGAGATAACTCTAAATCTGTTTTTTTTCTTGTCAGCAAAATCTAGCAATGGCTACAAAAAGATTTGTACCTGTGCTTCAAACAATTCATAATTAACATTAAGGTGTTCAGTAAGATAAATACATTGTTCACTGGTCCCTCGGGGCCCATGGGTTGATGTACCCTCGATGTTTGTTGATTGAGGGTACATCAACCCATGCCCCCCTCGTTACCAGTGAACAACTTATAGTATCCGTTACACAGTATTCATGATATGTATCATATTTGCCAAATAGTGGATTCATTGCAGTCCTAATACTCACTGGGCACTCTTCACAGGTAGGTCCGATGTATCTCTCCGTCTTGTTACACTCGCACTTGCCGCAGACACATTTACCGTGATTGTTACATTCCAGCTGAAACAAACGCAGAACAAATTGCCATTGTGTGAACATGGGGTGTCGTTGTGTGTCATTGTCAAGAACATGACCTCAGTGTTTTATTTTGCAAGAAATTGCCAAACATTTACCAGTTAAAGATGCGCCAGATAAGTGAAATTTAACCCTAACTGGACTGGCAGTAAGGATTACATAAGGGGAAATGAACTCTGGCCTTCGATCCCCACCATTCCCATTGTTCCAGGTATGTGATGGGAAGGATACAGTGAGTGAGAGAGTTTAGTTTTATGCCGCACTCAGCAATATTCCAGCTAAATGGCAGCGGTCTGTAAATAATCTAGTCTGGACCAGACAATCCAGTGATCAACAGCATGAGCATCGATCTACACAATTGGGATACGATGACATGTGTCAACCAAGTCAGCAAGCCTGACCATCCGATCTGATTGCCTTTTACGACAAGCATGGGTTACTGAAGATCAATTCTAATTCAGATCTTCACGGGCCGAAAAGGCAGAGACATTCACACGTACCCCATTATCAGTAAAGCACTTTGACTTGTCCATGTTGCAGTCACAACCGCTGCCGTTGTACTGGGCGTTGCAGAGGCAGGTGCCACATTGACAGCGACCTCGCTCCGGACCTGGTGAACAACAAAACATCATCTTGGATAGAGGGTCACTATATGACATCATAGCAGCTTTGGTGCTGCATAACACTTATTTAACAAAGTCTCCATTGAAACAGGTGTCAACTGTTGTATCAGTTATAGCATGTCATCTTCTTGTGTGTGTCATAGAAGTAGAGGTGCTGTGTTTTGCAGCATATCTTCATTAACAGAGCCTATCTACATGTACAATGCCTATCTTCATTAACAGAGCCTATCTACATTTACAATGCCTATCTTCATTAACAGAGCCTATCTACATTTACAATGCCTATCTTCATTAACAGAGCCTATCTACATTTACAATGCCTATCTTAATTAACAGAGCCTATCTACATTTACAATGCCTATCTTCATTAACAGAGCCTATCTACATTTACAATGCCTATCCTAATTAACAGAGCCTATCTACATTTACAATGCCTATCTTAATTAACAGAGCCTATCTACATTTACAATACCTATCTTAATTAACAGAGCCTATCTACATTTACAATGGCTATCTTCACTAACAGAGCCTATCTACATTTACAAATCCTATCCTAATTAACAGAGCCTATCTACATTTACAAATCCTATCTTAATTAACAGAGCTACATTTACTATCTACATTTACATTTACACCTATCCTAATTAACAGAGCCTATCTACATTTACAATGCCTATCCTAGCCTTAACATATCCATAGTTAATTTACAATCATATCCTGGTATTCAGAGCTTATCTACATATATGTATCCTATCCTGACTGACTGACTGAGTTTAGTTTTTACTGACTCCTATAGCAATATTCCAGCAATATCTACATTTACAATACCTAGAAATGGGCTTAACACATTGTGCCCATGTGGGGAATCGAACCGGGTCTTCGGTGATCCATAGCCAACGCTTTAACCACTAGGCTACCCCACCACCCCTATGTATGTATACAGAGGAAACAATACCTCACTATGCATGAGTACTCACCTCCACACAGTTCCCCATCATGGTAGTCGCAGGAATAGTTGTCACACTCGCAGAACGTTCCACTGTACTTCTGGGCCGAGTTGGCAGTGCGGGGGAAGCACTCACACACACCACACACACACTGGCCTCGTCCTGAACACGGCACTGTCGAATTGGGCCTGGAAGGAGACAACATCCAACCGAGATTAGGACAGAGTTGTCACATTAACACGGCTTCAGATATTTTACCCATATTGTATTTGGAGACATTAATGCTAAAAACATCCAGTACCAAACTGAAATGGTCCCATAATACCTTACTGTCGAATCTTTAGATAACAACTGTTTTTACTTCAACAAGCCTGTAACCTGGCAACTACAAGTGAGCATAATAATTACATCCCCTGTTGAACCCCTTGAGATCCAGGGAAAGAATATTGGTTGCCAACAACCTAAACTTGTTGAAAGAGGTAACTAAATGGATAGGGTGTCAGGCTTGATGATCGTATAATAACTCAATTGTCTGGTCCAAGGCTCCGTTGAGGGAACAACAGCTCTATGTCTGTCGTAAGTCAATGTTACTGCACATGAGCACGGATCATCGTGGATGCAGATGTCAATAATACAGCAACATGCCTATATCACTCAAGCCAAAATAATTCCTGTGACTCCTACAACACAGGTGACACAGATCACATACAGACTTGGATCTAAAACTCAGGCAGTAGGTCTCTTTTTTCGTCTGGTAACCATGGCAACTTACTTGATACATTTGGCATCAGACTCCTCACTGGAGACTTTGCTGGAGTCACACTCGCAGTTCTTTCCGTATCGTCCTGGGTTACATGTGCATTTCCCGCACTCGTACGTTCCATTGCCGGCCGAACACAGCGGACTGAAGGGAATCTGGAGTAAGTGAGAGTGAATAAAAGTGAGTGAGTGAGTGAGTGAGTGAGTAAGTAAGTAATCCAGCGAGTGAGTATGTGCCTATATCTTCACAGAGTCCGATATGAGCTCCCCAAAATCAACTCATTTGATAACAATGGTTTGTAATGTAAACGTTAAAGTCTGGGCCATAGAAACAAGTGATTGATCTATATGAACAAATAACCATGTCCTTGATGAAACAATCGATCAAGTATCTGTCTTACAATCTGATCCACAGTTGCCTTGTATGACAAAGGGAAATCACAGAATCCCATGAAGTCAGCACAAGTTAAATGACACCATCAGATATGTGTTAGATGCCTTCTCATTCACTTCAACTGGACACAACCCCCTTTCGATATGGGGGCTTATGGGCTGACCCCTTTTGATATAGACAGGGCACGACCTGATATGGGCCCTTCGATATAGACAGGGCACCCCTTTCGATAACGATAGAACACCACCTGATATGGGCACCACCTGATATGGGCGAGACCCCTTCCGACATCGATAAGACACCACTGATATCGTCCTTACCTCCTGTCCAGGTTTTTCACAATCGCATTCACAGATCAGTCTCAGGTCGAGGGTTAGCTTCTCCGATAATCCCACCGGATATATGGTGACTGTCCGGTTCCATCGGCTTCTGTCACGTGGACACTCCGTCACCGTGATCTCCACCTCAAACGTCACCTGGTGATACATCAAACTCCAGCCTTACATTTCACATGTACAGTATCACCATTAACTCAAAGAAGCAAGAACAGCTGCCTACACTGTACAAACAATCTTAGCATCATCTTAAAGCAAACAATGGGCATCACCAAACACCAAACCTTGCATCAAAAAGTCTGTTACTTGAATACAGAATATCTCTATGTTCATTGCATAACGCAACACTCAGCAATATTCCAGCTATAACATGGTGGCCTGTAAATGTTTGAGTTTGGACCATACAAACCAGTGATTGACATAATGAAGAAACGCCCATATCTTTAATGACATACAATCACCAAAGTGACTGATTCACCACCTGCTCAACATAATCGCCTTGTAAGACAAGCAGATACTGACATAGAATCCTCTCGAGACCATAGAAGTGAAATGGCAGTCAAACTACTATTGAAACCATATACTCATATCAACAATTAAGGGAACAGTGAGTGAGTGAGTGAGTGAGTGAGTATGGTTTTACATCGCTTTTAGCAATGTTCCAGCAATATCACGGTGGGGGACACCAGAAAGGGGCTTCACACATTGTGCCCAAGTGGGGAATCGAACACGGGCCTTCTGTGTGACGAGCGATCGCTTGAACCACTAGGCTATCCCACCACCCCTTTTAAGGGAACAGACAAAGGCTCAGTAAATATGTAATATGCTATGACTGAGTACTAGAACAAAAGCGGAAGATGACAGCTAATTATTTACAATCGCTATAACACAATGGGAGCAGCTCTGGACTACCGCGATGGAATTCGTCCAGTGGTAATGAACGTACAATGGAATGATGATCTACTCACATTGGCGCCAATGGTTAGGTCCTCACATTCATTGGTTTCCTTCATCTTGTCTCTGAAACAGGCACAGGAAACATGTAGCAAGCAGGGTGAATGCAGCAGCATACTGTCAGGGCAGTGATTAAAAAGCAAGTCCAATTCTCCATACACAAAATTCAACAGCGTCAAAGGTCATTGGACTCGCATACCAGGCGTTATCCACATCACCACCATGGGGACATTAGAATTTTATTGATCACGTTGTATTTCGAAGAATAATGACAATTATTATGGATATGTCCATCAAACAGGTCACGTTGTATTTAACAACATATAAAACAACTTAGACGTTTGGGTTTAGTTTTCTTTGTGAAAATCAAGGTGTAGGGAAAAATGATTTATCGGTGAATCTTCCAAAAAGAAGTGAGTGAGTGAGTTCAGTTTTACTCGGTGGTGGTGGAGGTGGAATTGGGTTTAACGTCGTGCTTGAGAATATTTCACTCATATGACGACGTACATGCGTGTGTATGTGTATGTGCAGCTGCTTGTACTAGCCCAGACTTAAGCTGGTTTTATAGTGCTAGCCCACTGAAATACCATGCCGCAGTGAAGCATGAATACCCCACTCAGACACATTATACTGACTCCGAGCCGACCAGTCCTTGTTGTACCGATTAATGCCGAGCACCAGGTAGGGACCAACAAATACCATATCTTAACGTCTTTTGGTATGATGCGGCTTTACTCGGCTTTTAGCAATATCACGGCGGGGCCACCAGAAATATGCTTCACAGATTGTACCCAAGTGGGGAATCGAACCTGGGTCTTCGGCATGAGTAGCGAACATGCTTTAACAACTAGGCTCTCCCAACGTATTACAATACATTTCAAGTTAAAAGGACACAGCTCAAAGAATAAAATTACAGCAGCACAAATATTAATCAATATTTCATTTCATTGAACATAAATTTTGAAAACATTACAACAGTATTTTAATGAACAGAAGACATCAAGTGTACTGAGAAGGGTTTAAACAGTATTTAGGATCGCTGAATTGTTTTCTTAAATCATAAAAGGTAAAACATACAAGAACTTAATCATATCCAATGATCCATTTTTCAACTAGACTGATATTAAACCGAAGACAATATCTGCACAAGCAACTCTGGATCAATACCCATGTGTCCTCCTGTTTTGTTGAACTCACCCAAAACACTTTGAAAAGAACTTGACAGTGACATTCTCAGCATTTTGTGTGTTCAAAGTGACTTTGGAGGTAATTTTCTGAAAAGATGAAACAATGCTCCACAATAATTCTTCAGCAAACTATTTTAGTGAAAGAAATGACAAAAATAATGGGAATCTTGTGAATAGACTTGATAGTGAGTGAGTTAATATTTATCGTCACATTAGCGATATTTCAGCCATAATGTGACGAGAACAATTAATGAATCGTCTTGATAAGTAACTTTGGAGTGTGTGTGTGTGTGTGTAGGTGCTGGTTTGAGCAGTGTTTTAAATACATCATGACAAGTCAATTTCAAACACTCTCACATACTGTCAGCATCATGTTACAAGAAACCAAACTTGGCACCAGTCAGAGACCATTACCATGCAGTTGGCACACCAAGGATCATAATCAGGACCCATGTGGAAATTGTCACAACAATCTGGAGATTTGACATGTCTAAACGTTTGGAATATGACAAAACCACACACGACTATCACAGCAAGAAGGCGACTGTATATCATTGTGTAAGCATGGCTTTGTACGTCTTCACAAGCCAGCGATCAACAGCATGAGCATCGATACAATCTACGCAATGGGGATACGATGACATGTGTCAGCCAAGTCAGCAAGCCTGACCACCCGATCCCGTTAGTCGCCTCTTACGACAAGCATGGGTTACTGAAGATAAATTCTAACCGGGATCTTCACGGGTCAAATAAGGGTCAAACGAAGTCACTGAGACTTGTTACCTAAATTAAGAGTAACGATCCAACTACCAACATACAATCAACCAAGTCACCCAGTTCAATCAACTACAACACCTATCATGATCAGGGCCCTGACTCTGAAACCGTTCGTAGCCCTAGGAATTCTTAACTTTGATTGTAGCCAATGTGTTTAGAATGGGCTTACGAAGTTCATAGGGTTACGAACTTTCCGGGAATTCCTAGCCAGCCTAGGTCGCTGAAAACAAATTAAAACTCCAAATACCAATAGGTTTGTTTGGGGGCAGTGTCCAGCTCATGCTTGATGAAGATCTTAGAGCCTACCCCAAAACATTGCCTCAGTTGTAATAAGGAACTGTTTGTTTAGCCCAAATGACTTGACAAACCAACAGCGAAAGTCTTGGTAAATCTGCCAGAAGAACTATGAGTGAGTCTGGTGACACAGCATAAAACGCTTACGTTATAGTTGTCCCTGATCAGATCTACGATGTTGGACGAGTCATTGGCAAGTTCTCCGGCTTCAGAACCTTCAATGGCAGTGGAGAGTTTCTCATACACAGGGGTCTGGTCCTTCGTTACAGCAAAGATAATGTTGACATTCTTCTCAATGATCTTGGCAGAGATCTGACTAACTGATGGGTAATCCTGAAGAGAAGGGGATTAAGTGCAGTTAAAGTCAAATAATACTGATATGATCTCTACAGCTGAACTATCTAACCATCTTTAACTATAAAGCTGAACTATCTAAACCCTACCTTTAACTATACAGCTGAGCTATCTAAACCCTACCTTTAACTATACAGCTGAACTATCTAAACCCCATCTTTAACTATACAGCTGAACTATCGAAACCCCATCTTTAACTATACAGCTGAACTATCGAAACCCCATATTTAACTATACAGCTGAACTATCTAAACCCTACCTTTAACTATACAGCTAAACTATCTAAACCCTACCTTTAACTATACAGCTATCTAACTATCTAAAACCCCATCTTTAAACCCTACCTTTATATACAGCTGAACTATCTAAACCCCATCAACTATACAGCTGAACTATCTAAACCCCATCTTTAACTATACAGCTGAACTATGAACAGCTGAACTATCTAAACCCCATCTTTAACTATACAGCTGAACTATCTAAACCCCATATTTAACTATACAGCTGAACTATCTAAACCCTACCTTTAACTATACTGCTGAACTATCTAAACCCTACCTTTAACTATACAGCTGAACTATCTAAACCCTACCTTTAACTATACAGCTGAACTATCTAAACCCTACCTTTAACTATACAGCTGAACTATCTAAACCCTACCTTTAACTATACAGCTGAAATATCTAAACCCTACCTTTAACTATCTAACCATCTTTAACTCCACAATCAGTACCCTCACCTGGTTTGAGCTCTCCGTGTAGACACCATGAGAATCCATGTGACAGAGTCCGTCATTGGGCTTTACAATACCTCCAAGCTAAATAACAGAATAATATTACTCTCACATATAAACAGACAGTTAACAGCAGTAGACTGACACAAGTCCCCACTATCCGATCTTCGATCAAGTTTTACAGTATTCATCCTTTATCACATACAGTATGAATAGCTAATCTTGTCACTTCAAAAGTATATTAACAGTGGGAGGCTAGCCTCCTGTATACAGGGCATCATTCCTGAGGAAATTAATATGCACCGGAAATAATATTGAGTTTAAATTAGCGTTTGGTTGTCGAACTATTTCTTGTTTGTTTCCAATGGCACTCTATCTTGTCAATAATTTTTACCATTCAAAACCACTCATGTTGAGATGGTAGACATACAGAGCAAATAAATAATAAACTTTCTTATTCAAGGTTAGATATTTTAAATAGATAGTGATCTAGCACACCCTGACAATGTGGAATAAATAGAACATGATTTGAAAGTTAAACTTTGCCTCAAGCAACATTGTAATGCAGCGGATAACTTAGTAAACAAAGGGGAGTAACTGGAGATTATCCACTGAGTCTGTAACACTGAGTTTGTTTAATGTATGCAATGCTCTGACAAGAAAGTATTGCTGTTATACTGTTGTCTTTTGAAAGAGTGAGTGAGTTTAGGTTTAATTCACTTTGGGCAATATTCCAGCTATATGGCATCAGTTGTGTAAGTGTCCGTCATGGTCATCACACAGTGGTCTCAGAGAATAAGATTGGGAAGGTCATATGAGACATGTATGTTCTCATTCTATGCATAGTCATAATTTGTTTGTTTCATTATTGACGCCCCACTCATCAATATTTCAGCTATAAACAATTGTGTCTGGACCAGATACTCCAGTGATCAACATATGATCTTCGAACTACGCAACTGGGATATGATGACGTGTCAAAAGTGACTTCTTTGATTGGCAAAAGTGAGCGAGTCTGACCACCTGATCCCGTTAGTCGCCTCTTACGACAAGCATGGGTTACTGAAGACCAGTTCTGACCTGGATCTTCAAGGGTCCAAACCAAGAGTGAGTGAGTGAGCATGGTTTCATGTCACTGTTAGCAATATTTTAGCATTTCCGTGATAACAAATCCCATGGTGAGTGAAGATTTTTGTTGCAATATTCGAGCTATATCACTGTGGAGGACATCTCCAGAAATGGGCTTTACTTATTTGGGAATCAAACCCAGGTCTTAAGCATGATGGTAAATGCTTCAACCACCCTACTACCCTGACCGATACAAGCAAGAACTAACCACTCTCATGTGCCACAGCGACCATTTCATCATTGGGATAATCAGCTCCTGTGAACCTGAGTGAGTCTGTGAGTAAGTGAGTGAGTTTGGTTTTATGCCGCTTTTAGTAATATCCCACCAATATCATGGCAGGCGACACCATTATACCTATGTTGGGAATCAAACCCGAGTCTACGGTGGGACAGGCAAACGCTTTAACCACTGGGCCACCCCACCATCCCTGTAAACACTGACGGCTACAAATCAAAGTTGCTTGAGTCAAAGGCTAAGTAAAACTGATAGTTAGAATACATACCAGTTATATTACCATGTCAATACAATGTTATAAGAAAAGCCAAAGTAACATGCAATAAGTTCACTACCATGCACCTCCCGAACTACGTCGTTGTTAGTAAAAGCGAATAACTTGGAAAGTCGGATTTAGAAATGACCCGGAGAGCATGCTTCTACTGTAGAAACATTCAAAATGAAGAAGGAAAGAGAAACTCATTGTCATATTTGGCTGGGATTAATCCTAGATACTGCTAGATATCTAGGGCACTGTATGGATTGCCTTGTATGCTTTTGTTTGTTGGCTGCTTAAAGCCTCACTCAGCCATATTTCAGCTTTATGATGGCAGCTGTGGTCTGTGAATCCAGTGATTGATAGTGTGAGAAATGATCCGTGACACCGTGACGATGACATACCATCAACCAGGTCATGTAGCCAGACAGCCTCGTCTGTTTGGTGAGCTTTCATGACCCGCACAGGTTGCTAGGGAACCACACAGGGGACTTATAGGCAATCAACATTGTCTTTCTACATCACTCATCACATCACAAACTGACAGGCAGACCCATGGTGCTCCAAGAGGGATGGAGATGGAAGGGAGGGAGCTTAGGGGTGGGGGTGAGGTGAAGTAAAGTGGAGGGCTCCAGGGGTGGGTGGTTGGAGGAAGGGGAGGGGAGGGATCCAGGGGAAGGGTTGTTGGAGGAAGGGGGGGAGGAATCCAGGAAAAGGGGACAGGGTGGGTTTTAGGGGTGGGGTTGGAAGAAGGGGAGGGAGAGGGCACCAGGGGTGGGGGTTGAAGGGAGGGCTCCAGGAGAAGGGGAGAGGGAGGGTTTCAGTGGGTTGGGGGTTGGAGGGAAGGGAAAGGGTACGGCTTCAGTTGGTAGGGGTGTGGGGTTTGGGGGAGGGATTCAGGGAGTAAGGGTGGGTTGAGCAGGAGGAGGAAGGGGAAAGTGTTTGATTTGGTAGGCCTAAGACCTGCCCCTTCACATATGTCATCTTATTTTCTTCCTAAAACACTGACCTGAGCCCTTACACTAATTCAAAGAAACTGTAGTGTTTTCTGTACATAAAGAAGACTTGTTGTCATCATTTTAGAAATTTTGCAGACAATTTCAAAACAGAAACAGACCTTTGACAAAATCCATTCAAAATGAGCTTGTAGTTATTTTGAATCGGTATAACTTCCCTGACATAAACAAACTTATTATGTATTTTTCAATTGTCCTTAATTCTGGTAAAATATCTCAGAAAACATTACAGGAATAAACTGAACAAACTAATGAGAACCTGGGTCTGACAGAGTAAATGTAATACCCCACACCACACGATCAGCAACTATTCTACACAGGCAACAGTCTGCAACTGCTCTTCTCCTCTCAGTGATACTGAAGTCAATCAGTTCACAAGTACCTGTTTTTCTTTTCAAACTATTATTCCCAAAGAAAATTAATATTTGAAGTAAATTTCTCCTCCCCAAAGTCTTATGTTTGTATTTTTTGTTTGGTCTGGATCTCTTTCCCTCGAGCATATCAATAATGGATTCAATTGCTCAAAGATCACGGTTTCACCGTTGGTGGCAAACTATAGTTACCTCCCTTTTGGTGGACAAGTTAGAGTTACTTGCCCTTGGTCTAAAATAGGAAAACTAAAGACCAGAGAAGCATAAAATATTTCTTGACACCTAAATCACTTATATTTCATACAAAATTGTTTTAGGTTATAAAATCATCCTGAAGTCATGATGTGTGGTGAGGGGTGTCAAATTACACTCTTCAGACTAAAAAGGAGCCAATGGGGCTCCAGAGGAGCCACAGAGGCTCCACGGACCTTGCCATCCCCCGCATAATGAAAGCCGGAGTCAGTTGAGAAGATGATCATTCGCCGAGACTGGTTTCTCCAACCAATAGACGACTGAAATCAGGCACATTGTTACGACATGATGCAGAAAGTTGATATCAACAGGTGAATAAAACCACCGTCTGTCTTTGGACACTGAGACTACAAGAAGGACACAGCCGAAAACAATTGAAAATTACTCCTTATAAAAGACTAAAGCAGTAATTTCTGTAAATAAAGGAATTCCAAGAGATAATGTGTGTCTAAATTGTTAATTAGTTTCTAACCATATATTGTAAAGCCAAATCTCACAAGATATTCCAATTTCATGTTGAGCTTTCTCATTCCTCATTTTAGATAAACCCATTTCACCCAACCAATATTTTAACATCCATTTTCGATTTTCATATGCTAGTTGTGAATATTTCTGTCCTTCTCCAGCCAAAGTCCACAGACAGACGCTGGATGTTATATTAGAAAGAATAAACAGAAGATGAAAAAAGCAAGTTCTACATAGAGAAATAAAGAAGGCGAAGCAACAGTGATGGAGAGAAGAACCACGCAAGGTGACAGTGTAACCATTCGTCCACACAAAACAAACCTTCCCGTCGCCTGCGTAATGGAAACCTGCGTCTGTCGAGAATAGCAACATTCTACGGGATACCTCTCGCCAGCCTATACTCTCCTTTAATAAGACAGAATGTTGTCAACACTGATGTTGTCATTCAAACACTTCACAATCATAAATATCTGTCTTAAAATTTTTAAAGGTCATACATGCATTAGGGATTATGAGAGTTACACATGGCTTGTTATCTTGCCTCACACATAAATGTCGTTTTCTGATTGGCTAAGCTCTTCTATTATTTTCAATGTACTCCACTTACAAGCGAGTAACATTTTCGTTGTACCCCCTGGGAATGCCGAACTCATCTGGTACTTTGTAGTAGTAATTCTTTATCTCGAATAACATTGAATCATGTATCATTTACGGAAATTACGGATGTTTTGAGAATGCAAATCAATGGAAGGGAGATAACTCTAAATTAGTTTTCTTGTCATCTGGTACTCCATACTATGACCCAATACCCGTGCTTCAAACAGTACAAAATTACCATTGAGGTATTCGGTAAGATAAATACGTTGTTCACTGGTCCCTAGGGGCCCATGGGTTGATGTACCCTCGATGTTTCTTTATGTTTCTCTCACCCTTCGGGCTCAAGGAACATAAACTAACATCAGGGGTACTTCAGCCCATGTCCCCCTCGAGACCAGTGAACAACTTATAATGTACATCTTTTGGTTGTTTAAAGTCTATACCAGCCACATACCCTGAAGGTACTCAAGTCTGGACCAGAAAAACCAGTGATGGATATTACGAGCAATGAAAACACTGCTGGGGTACAATGACACATTAAAAACCAAGTCACCAGTCCTTGACCACTCAATCCATTTGGAAGGTCAAGGTCAACAAAATGTCAGCCATGTCACACCAGCCTGACAAAATATCAAGACTCGAGCAGGCAAATGATCTCCGATCTCACGTAACCCATCCGGTCACCCTGATCCAAATTATATTATTTCAGGCTTGGATGTGATTGGACAACTGACAGAACAATTATCCAATCACAGGAAAAGACAAAATGCCACACTGCTATTCAATATACACACCAGCTCTAACTTGTAGCATGGCTTGTGTGAATAAATGACCTGTCTTTCCTTCATCACACATCATATGATGTAGAGTTACCTCCCCCTGGCAAGTACTAGTGCTAATAACAGATTTCATTCTCAGTTTTGCTGAAACTGACCAAGGCCCCTTTCCACAAAGCGTTTGTAGGACTATGTCATACGTAAGCCAATGATGTACTATAGAGTTACGATAAGTCATAACGATGAACACTTTGTGGATCAGAACCCTGGCCCTGTGCTCAGGTACTCAATAGAGTTTTACTTGTCATTTCTACACTGGACAGAATATGGAAACAAACTCTAGTTTATTTCATACATAACTATCTGCTTGTTCTTGTGAAATACTTTCAATACACTCTGACCAGGAGTCTGCAGAGTACAGAACACAAGCTGAGGCAAGGAGAAGGGCCACACTAGCAAACCAATGAATGCTACAGGGTGATAAGTCACAATGACCAACTGAACAGTGTTAAACAAAGAAACACAATGTTCATCCGTCTATTACTGTGTTGTCTAAGGCCAGTGTGTGTTAAAAGATAAAGTGTGCTATATATAGGATATACCAAGTGAATAATCTGAAACACAATCTCAGTATTACTTCAGAAAAAAATATCAACAAACAGAACATATACATTATAATCAGGCCAAGAAACATCATATTTCAATCAATATTTTGCTCGAACATAATATCTCCAATTACTATTTGCCATTATTTAATATTAAGAACTAACAATGATTTCCTTATCCATAATTAATCCACAATGGAAATGAACATCTAATACAGCTGAACCCCACTGTCTCGAACTCTTGGTGAAAAGAGATAGATAGTTTCAGAAAGTCGGGATTCGACATGTTGTACTTCACATTTTACTTCACTGTCTGACCAAGCCATCATACAACAGAATACAAGCATAGCACATCGTGCCTGTAAGTTTTCAAATATGTTAGACCCAATTCGTTGTTTACGGCTGGGACTATCTATGGTGTCTGGGACACACAGGAATGTAATACATGAAGTTCTCATAGTGATAAAAATAGGAAGAGTTTGCTTGTACCAGACTGCTAGTTCAATGCTATTTGGGATCAAACACATCTGAGTGCCTCCGACTCCAACACAACTCGTGATTTGACAAATTTTAGTTCAAGACAACAGGGTCAGACAGTAATTTATCTATACCAACCTCTCTAATACGTTGAAACAGTTATTTAAGGTTTTCATATAAGAATATTATCGATAATAAATCTCATTACTCCAGTGATAATTAAGTCTGAAAGAAAGGCTGTATATGCTGTTAAAAAAGTTCATGCTAAATATATAGTATTACAATTAAATAACTTCCTCTTACTGATAATTACAGTAACTATCATCATCTTTTGGTACATACATAATACAAAAGGGAAAATGTATTTCTTATGATTGTCCAACAATCATAAGAGATCACAAGGCCAACTTACATCACATGCCACAGCCTGCATAATGGCGTCAAAACCCCCCTCTGGGGCGTCCAGGTTACCAGAGACATTGGCAGCTCGTACTTGTTGCTGAAAAATAAAAGGTATCTCAAAACATCGCCTGGAGCCATATATCCAAATATACCTGATATAGTTTGGTTTAACTTTCTATCAACCATATTTGAGGGAAATGACAGTTGGGCTGATGTGACAAGTGAGTATGATTCTACGCTGCTGTTAGCAACATTCCAGCAATATCACGGCAGGGGACACCAGAAATGGGCTTCACATATTGTATCCATGTGGGGAATCAAACCCCGGTCTTCGGCGTGACAAGGAAATGCTTTAACCACTGGGCTACCCCACCACCCCTCTTAATAAAAAAAGGTGCATATTCTGCAGCCTTTTTTATGTACACCATATTTGAAATATGAATCAGCTTTCAAATGTTGAACGTGACAAACAAACCCCTAGGCAACCCCACTGCCCGGGGCTGATGAGTGAGGAAAGCCTAAAGCAATGCAGGTCTTTCATGTTGTTCCACATATAAGAACAGCTATGGGACCAACGAATTTAGAAACAAAATCTGATCAGTCTGGGATATTAAACAATCACAGGTCTCTTACAAGCCAGGGAGCAACTCAACACTGTGATATGAGTGAGTGAGTTTAGTTTTACGCCGCACTCAGCAATATTCCAGCTATATGGTGGCGCTCACTAAATAATGGAGTCTGGGTCAGACAATCCAGTGATCAACAGCGTGAGCATCGATCTGCGCAACTGGGAACCGATGACATGTGTCAACCAAGTCAGCGAGCCTGAACACCTGATCATGTTAGTCCGACTTAGTCGCCTCTTACGACAAGCATGGGTTACTGAAGGTTCATTCTAACCCGGACCTTCACGGGTCACTGTGATATGATATGCATTAGAGAACCCATTGATAGACATTATTAGATCTTCCTTGGACAGCAAGCAGACTCTCCCAGTACACCCCTCAACATCTGTCAAATACTTACTGCAAAGAGTGTAGTGTCCAGGTCTAAACGCAGCTGGTTCTTAAAGCCGTATGGAGATTCACATGGTTGTCCGTTACGCATGCGACACGGCATGTTTAACCTGAAGTAAAAACACTTGTCAGTCTTTTGTTTCTTTAATCTTTGTCTAATATTGGCAAACTTTAAGGATAACAACTTCAAATGGCAAACCGAATAGAAAAACTAAAGGATGTGCGTTGCATGTAGAGATATTATTCACTTTGGTTCAAAGCATCAATGCATCTTCATCCAGAAAGGAGTCAAATATATTAACACAATATATTGTGTCCTGTGTGGGTGTTCTTTTGTAAGCGTTTAGACTGAAACTTCCAAATCAAGATGTTTTGAAAATGAGTGAGTGAGTGAGTATAGTTTTATGCCGTTTTTAGGAATATTCCAGCAATATCACAGCGGGGGACACCAGAAATGGGCTTCAAACATTGTACCCATGTGGAGAATCGAACCCGGGTCTTCGGTGTGAAGAGCCAACGTTTTAACCACAAGGCTACCCCACAATGAAAATGAAGCTGAATCATCTTAGAAAGCCGACATTTGATTGGTTCAAGAACCAACACATCCCCATTTAAACAGGACAGTCAAAGACTGCTCACCTGACACAAACTTCTAAGGAATGACAACAACAGAGAGGTCTCATAGCTGAGTAAAAGACTTTTGTAAAGGAGACTGATACAAAGTTTCAAGTCAAATTGGATATATTAAAAGTACAAGCCTTGTCTTATGTTGGTTCCCACATGCAACACCTTCAGTAAGCAAAATACAGATTGAACAAGCAGGTGTAAAGGTTTCATTTCATCCAGTGAGTGAGAGAAAAAGTGAATGAGTGAGGGAATGAGATTTTTTTTCTCTGCTTTTTTCTAAAGATAGTGATATTTGTACATGTCTAAATGCCCTGATTAACTGGTTGATTGGTTGGTTTGTTGTTTAACGCCGCACTAAGCAATATTCCAGCTATATGGCAACAAACTACAAATAATCAAGTCTGGAGCAGACAATCCTGTGATCAACAGCATGAGCATTAATCTACACTATAGATCTGGGATACGATGACATGTGTCAACCAAGTCAGTGAGCCTGACCACCCGATCCCATTAGTCGCCTCTTACGACAAGCATGGGTTGCTGAAGACCAATTCTAACCCTGATCATCACGGGTCCCTGATTAATTGACTGACTGATGTGGGAAGGCATGGGTAACCTACTTTTCTGGGACTGTACTGACATACGGCATGACCACTTTGTCCACAAACGACCCAAAGCCGAGCCGGAAGTTCTTTGTGATTTCTGACATTTTATCAGCTGCAAAACAAAAAGCACAAAGACTAAAAAAATATCATCACACAAAATCAACTGTCTTCCAGCTGTCTGCTTTTTCAAAATTACAACAGTAACTTGTGTGAAGTACGAGGTTCTGGAGATCTAACCCTGATAGGTTGAGAGTGAGCATACTGACCAATACGGTTTCCAAGTTCAGCCAGCTTGAGCTTGTCGTCCTCCATGGAGTTGGAGAGGTCCATCAAGTAGTAGAGATCAACAGGATAATTCTTGGCTTGTCGGAAGGTGATCGGGATCCGCATTGGCTTGTCTACAAAGGTCAAGGTCATTCATTAAAAAAACAAAAATACAAAAACCATTGTCAATACTTCTAAACATCAAACACGTAGTCTGTGGCTCTACAAAGTGATTTAGTGTTGAAGTATGGGAAATATAACTCCCTGAAGAAATAAATCTGATCAGCTGGTACGTTCTAATGAAATCAATCTGGTGTAGTAACAAAGACAGTAACCATGGTAACACTGATGCCATGTCAAGAACCACTAACACTATTGGGAACCAACTGCATGCTTGAATCAGTTTTGTTTTAATACACTTTTAACAGCATTCCTGTAACATGTCAAGGCACAGAGGCGGTGTTATAGCACAGTGGTTAAAGCATTTGCTCGTCACGCCGAAGAATGAGTGAGTTTGGTGACGACATCGAATACCCGGGTTCGATTCTCCACATGGGTACAATGTGTAAAGCCCATTTCTGGAGTCCCCTACCGTGATATTGATGGAATATTGCTAAAAGCGGCGTAAAACCCAACTCACTCACTCACTGTCAAGGGACAACAGAACTGGGCTTCACGCATTGTACCTTAGGGGTCCACTACCCGTTGAATATTATACATCTCACAAATACTGGATAGCAATTACAACAACCAGTCAGTAGCTGGTCTACCTCGCTGCCCAGAACATGATCTTTATTGTACCTTTGTGTGGCATCGAGCCCAAATCTTCAGAATATAATTCAACTAGACAATCCTACCACCCCTGCCCTGAAAGTAAAATACACCCAGTGAAACATGAATACACAGGACTCACTTGGTCTGATATTGAAGCGCACTTCCTGAGGCTGGATCTGCACAGCATCTTCAGGACGAAGACCATCTTGTACACTATAATCCTGAAAACAAATAGAAACATTTTACCTTATTTGCCATTTAGTTGCTGGTCCTAGCTAAATACCTGCAGACTGTTCAGGTTATAGGGAAGTCTAATATAACCTGACAGTAGTTTTTCTCAGTAACTAACCATTGTCCTCTTATCTTATAATTAAACAGCACTTCTACCCAATTCACTATTCATCATAAACTCAGGAGTAGACTGTTTTATAATTCTCTTTCTAAAATTATGTCTTGAGGTGCCATTAGCAGTAGTAATTAACTGGGCAAATTGTTCGACAAAAAAATGTATCTTGTATGGTACTCTCGTATTACAAACTCATGACCAACAGTTAAAGTTCTATGGATGTACAACTTCTATATTATTAATGTATAATTACTTTATTATCAATGATATGTTGACCCATAGAACCGTTGTTCATCACACCAACTTGTAACTGCCACTCAAACTGTACACTGTACACCTTACACCAGTGTATCCTTTCAAACCTATCTTTTACCCTCATATTCCCTATCTGTGTTGCCTTACCTTCACAGGATGAGTTCCATCAGCTGGGAAGATAATACTGGAGGGATCACATCCCCCTGGTTCAGCCAGGTTTTCAAACTTGTCACATCGCGCACGATTATCTTTGTCAAAGTTCTGGAAAACAACAACCAAGCGAGGGTAGTTCACTCAGTATTTATCATATTCAAAACATAAACTAAATATTTTGTAGCAGTTAAATCTATGTTTTAAATTTCATACATCATCATCATTCTCATTCTCATCATCATCATCATCATCATCTTCATACCTCCTCCAAGCACCAGCCACATTCGGCCCCGGTGGCAATACAGGCTCCACATGACTTCTGTGCCGAATCGCTCAAACAGGGGTTGTTCTGCTGGGATCGGCTGCCTGGAAACAAGACACAAGGCATTAGAAGGGTGGCAGTACTTTCCTGACAAAACATTCCCATAGTGAGAACATAATTGGCCTGCCAAAACACTACACCAGGATTTTTCTAATGAGTTGTATGCTGGAGTAAACCAGTGGTTGACGATGTGAGCATCAATCAACCACATAAGGTCAACCCTCATCTGAGACTAAAAGAGAAAACCTAAATATGTTTAAAGGTCTGACTTTTCAGTTGAAATTCCATATTGTAATCAGCTCAACTCAACCTTTGATTCAGATTTCACAAGACACCCAACTTCTATAAATACTGAACACCAAACATCATGAAACTCAAGGAATGTCTGATTGCTGCCGCTGCTACTGCTGATTGATGTCCAGTAATGGTTTGATTGTAGTTTATTGCCGCTATATCACCATGGTTTGGACCAGACAATCAGTTGAATGACAAGAGCATCGAACTAAGGAAGAGGGATACAATAATACGTGTCAACCAAATCACCAGGCCTGACCACCCAATCCCTTCAGTCATCTTTCACGATAGCCACTGGTTGCTGAAAACCAGTTCTTACGGTGATCCTCACTGGTTGGTCAGGGTGGTCGGGTAGCCAAGTGATTAAAGCGTTCACTTGTCATGCTGAAGACCTGGGATCTATTCCCCACGTGGGCACAATGTGTGAAGCACATTTCTGGTGTTCCCCACTATGATATTGCTGGAATACTGCTAAAATCGGCATAAAACTAAATTCACTCACTCACTGGAAGTCAGTGATTTTTAAATAAAACATTCTTGATACTTTATTTCATTCCTTCTCCTTTCACAAACTAACTGTACTAGTTCTACATGAATAGTTTGATTCTTACTGTAATACATATAATGATATATCTATTAACACTTGACTGAGTAACAGCATAAGAATAATTCCTTTACTCTTGACAAATAATCTCTACTTTTCCACACTGGCACTGTGTCTTCACATAACATGAATAGTTAGGCACTTAGGTGTGAGCCTGCACCTCTCACGTCCCAGGATGCACCATGATCTCATTCATAAACACCAGGATATATACCTCATAACACATGGCCCACTCAGCTCAGTACCTCATTATACAGCGCTCAAGGGGGGACACCTCTATGACCAATATCACATAACATCAAGTTTGTAATATCCAATATTGCATACCACCCACTGTTGTTATGTCAAACATTGTACAACATGTGTTTTCAATACTCCCATGAGATGAATTCTGAGCTGTTGTTATAATGAGGGCTTTGACATGGCACTGGCCTGTATGAACAAGTGTGAAAGCATCCCTGTATTACTTGCTCCATGGTGTATGTGTGATCAAGAATGCCGAACTTGTTTGTCTCACAGTCCTGGAAGCCTATTATTTTCAGTTCCTCCAGGCCCTGACTGTAATGCAAAACCCCTAAATGAAGCAAGTCTAGATTTTCCTCTGAATCCCCAACCTGACTCAGGCTCATTTTCCATTCAAATTGAGTTCTTAATTTCATTGTCTCTATCAAAAATGTATATTTTCCATCCATCCGTCCGTCCGTCCGTCCATCCATCCATCCATCATCTATTCACCCACCCACTCATCATCCATCCATCCATTTATCCATCCACCCATTCATCCATCCACCCCCTCACGACCTACCGACCCACCCATCCACTCATCCACCGATCCATCCATCCATCCACCAATTCATCATCCATCCCTCAGCCCACCCCCATGAACGACTCCACCCACCCATCCATCCATTTATCCATCCATCCATCCACCCACCGATTCATCATCCATCCACCCATGACCGACCACCCACCCATCCATCCACCTACCCATCCATTTATCCATACACCCACCCATCCATCCACCCACCGATTCATCATTCATCTATTTATCCATCCACCCACCCACCCATCCATCCACCGATTCATCATCCATCCTTCCATTTACCCCCATCCATCCATCCACCCACCGATTCATCATCCATCTATTTATCCATCCACCCACCCATCCATCCACCCACCGATTCATCATCAATCCATCCATTTATCCACCCACCCACCCATCCTCCATCCACCCCTATCCATCCATCCATGTGTGCATATTTTTAATTCCCAAATCTGTTATGTGTGTTATAATGTCGCAGCTTATTGATTCATTAAGCTTGAAGTAATTGCAGCTGTTATGTTACGTTCCAGGCCAATATCATTTTGACCTAATATTTACACATGCAAGAGTCGATGCAATCACAGAAACAACTGCCACTAATATGAAGTGACATATGCTATGTTCACTCAAATGGGAATACAAAGGCTAATGCACAAAATTAACAAATTCTATAATGGCTTGTGACCGGGAGATAATACAAGCAGTTATATTTTTATTTCTTATAATACTGACTGACTGAGTTTGGTTTTACGCCGCTTTTAGCAATATTCCAGCAACATCACGGCAGGGGACACCAGAAATGGGCTTCACACATTGTGCCCACGTGGGGATTCGAACCCGGGTCTTCGGCGTGACGAGCCAACGCTTTAACCATTAGGCTACCCCACAGCCCTATTTCTTATAATAAATGGTATCCATCTTGTATATATCCCTTAAAGAAAGACATAATCATAATACTCTCATCACCACACTCGACTTCAGTAGTCATTGAATGGAGAAAAAATAAATAAATAACACAACTGATTTGTTGCCCGTTGAGTGAGTTTGTGTGAGTGATTTGTTTTAAGTTTTACATCGCTTTAAGCAATATCCCAGCATTATCACGGCACCAGAAATAGGCTTCACATGTTGTACCCATGTGGGGAATCGAACTAGGGCCTTCAGTGTGACGAGTGAACCCTTTAACCACAAGGACCTGTTATCTGTTAAAGTGTTTAGAGCAGTGTGAATCAAAATTTAAACTTTGACATAAACAGTGTAAATCAAAATATAAACTTTGAAATAAACAGTGTAAATCAAAATATAAACTTTGAAATAAACAGTGTAAATCAAAAATTTAACTTTGAAATAAACGGAATAAATCTTGCACATCTTTCACATCCTCATCAAGTCAACTTTATTCCAAATTAATAGTTGAACATTTGAAAGCTGATTTATATTTCAGATGTGGTGTAGATAATAAACGCTGCAAAATATCCACCAATACCCTGCAGAAAGTTAACTTGGAGTGAGTGAGTTTAGTTTTACGCCGCACTCAGCAATATTCCAGCCATATGACCGCAGTCTGTTAATAATCGAGTCTGAACGAACAATCCAGTGATACACAACATGAGCATCGATCTAGATTCTATGCAATCGGGATACGATGACATGTGTCAACCAAGTCAGCGAGTCTGACCACCCAATCCCGTTAGTCGCCTCTTATGACAAGCATGGATCACTGAAGATCAATTCTAAACCGGATCTTCATGAGTAAGTCAACTTGGAAAATCTGGTAAAACCAACAAATATTACGCAAAAGTCCATAGCATGATTAGAGTTTTCTAGTTCCTTCTACAGTGAAGTGACCCTTCATCAATGTGACTCAACAATTAATCCATGCTGTGTAGGAGCTGAGATATAATTAGATATACAGCCCATGCAGTTTCCTGATAATATGCGTGTCAGATGGCTAAAATAGATCGGAACATTTCCAGAATTAGTGTTTAAGACTGACCAATTTTCCCGACTTCGCTAACAATTTTCTGTGTCAACTGTAAATTATTTCCTTGTATATTACTAAAAAGAAGTTAAGGATCATCAAAATGCGTTTATTACTGTGATGAGTGAGTGAGTGAGTGAGTGAGTGAGTGAGTGAGTGAGTGAGTGAGTGAGTGAGTGTGAGTGTGTGAGTGAGTGTGTGAGTGTGTGTGTGTGTGTGTGTGTGTGTGTGTGTGTGTGTGTGTGCAGGGGTTGAAAATGACTTCTAAGGCCACATTGATGATGTTTTTCTGCTTCTGGGCGGAGCCAAGGAGGGTTCAGGGGATCAACCCCCACCCCCACACCCTTTCACAAAATTCCTGGATCCGCCCATGCCAGAGACCATATCCCTCTATGTCTCTGCTTCAACACAATTGGCAAACATGCATGCATTTTGAACTTCATACAACAAAAAGTGCTAGTTTTCTGATATTTTCAACTTTGCATTTAAGCTATTCCCTGAACTGAGTGGGATAGAGCATATGACGTCACAATGCTCCATTGTTAGATCATTACGTTATCGGCGTCATCCATTGTTTATGGAGGTCACAATTTGATTACATTACAACAGAGGGATATCACTGGTGTCCGTCTGCTGTATTGACATTCTTCATTTTCTTTCTAACAATGTGGGTAATACATGAAGAAATAATACTTTCGGACCTCATAATTCGGATCTTTTTTGGCCCATAGAAATAAATATCTTTATAGTATGGTTTTGTGCCACTGTTTGCAATATAGCAATATCATGGCAGGGGGACACCAGAAATGGGCTTCACACAGTGTACCCATGTTGGGAATCGAACCTGGGTCCTCAGTAGACAAGCGACCGCTTCAAGCATTAGGCTACCCAACCACCCTGTTTATTACTATAGCTATTCTGTTATTGCATGACAGGCAGCTAAAGTAGTATGAAACTATCTACTATTTAACACCAAACTCAGAAATGTTCCGGTCATACAGCTGCAGTCTGTAGAATAATCAAGTCTGGACCAGACAATCCAGACAATTCTTAGAACATCCATTTTGAAATAACATGTAATTTTTGAGTAAAATTGATATTTTATAATTTATCCTGACTCATGCTCTTTTGCTTGTCTTCTTCTTCTTGCTTAACATAGTGGAACACTTGTATCTCCTTAATTGAGCTCCCTTCAATGTAAAATCACTAATTGGTACTTTCACCACGAAGTTGCCTCCCCTTGCCCTTTTAAGGGGGAACAGGTGTCATCACCCTCTGGCCCTCATGCTTCACTCTCTCCTGATTTTGCGAGCCCCAACACTTGAATCTACAGGGAAATCCA